TGGGTGTTTAACTATCTATCGCATCTAAGCTAGGTCTGGGTACACTGTCCTCTGTCTAATTTTATACAAGCTTATAAAAGAATCCTTACAAGGAAAAAATGGGAGAGATTTTATTTAACTGAAAAACCAATATTTCTCATAGCACAGAAACAACTCATTGACCTTCTAATACGGAAAATATTAAGATTTGCAATGAAAACTGTTCTGCGCAATTACTTCGTTTTGGAGGACATACATCAAAGAGATAGTGTATTTCCTATTACACTATTTCTATCTGCGAAACAATTATGGAATAAATTACAGCAATTCGTAACCGAAATTCTGCTTGTACGGTAGATAGGGCCAGTCCATACTTGATATTTGTGAGACTTCTTTGAAATATTTATTATGCGCAATGGTTTGAAGTCACTTTTATTTAATTGACCAAAAATGTCAAAGAAACAATTTAGTAAGTCTCGATATGTGCACTATTGACAGACATCAGAGTGTTGCTCAATTTCCGTTGATTATTCGATAAGAACTTCGTATATACTGCTCGACACTGTTTTGGATATAGTCAAGTGGTAAAGATTGTCAATTCTCTTTCACTAAAAATCTGGTTTTTGAATAAACTGCAAAGAAAAAATTCTGTTGGGGTAAAATGCGAATTTCTTAGAGGCTAGGAAATAGCTCAATTTCTGCCATTCCATCTTCCTAGAAATCAACGATTCAACTCATCTCTCATATGATTCGCAAAATAGGGTGGTGTTTCCTCTTGTTGAAGAGAAATGTTAAAACCAATGTTTTCCATTTCCGTTTGCTGTGTCTGATTGGATAAGATCTGTAGCACGTGATTTTCGCAACTGCCAATATCCTAGAATTGCTTGTACCATCGCCTGATCTTCTTTTCATGTAATGCGCATAATCTTTTTGAATGAATGAATTTAATAAAAACGTTTTCAATACATTTCGCGTAATGTATAATTCAGAGATGCCTAAGGAAGTCCTGCCATTATTCTTCAGGAACTGTTTATTTTCTATTAGAAAATTTAGATGGTTATTTTTTACAATTATTGTAATCGGTCATTCATTCAATAATGAAAACAGTCCATATAATCAAATATACAGAATTCCCATCACTCGTATCTGATTCCGTCAAGGGCCTAGCAAAATTTGGATTATGTCTCCTATAAGATTTCTCGACTAGTGACGGGCGCTCTCTTTCTTTTGGCCATGATGAATTCAGGGAGATGATTTAAGCTTTGGTTTAGAAACAGGAAGATAAGTAAAAACAACAACATGTCTCAAGAGCATCCAATTTTGCGTCATCATTTAAAAATGAAAAAGGACACAATGGATTCCACACAATTGTTACAAGCTCAGAAAGATGCTCGTATGAAATAGTGGAAGTAAAATCGCAAAAGATTCTACTGATCTATCCATGTCATTGCAAAAGATAAAAAAACATGGATTGATTCCTAAGAACCAGAAATACAACCCTGGTTGACTACTACCATGTTCTTCAAAATTTTAAAAATTCTACAAAAGTTGTTCGTGTACAAATTCTTTCAAAAAAATGACAAAAATGACTACTGCGTTTTTTGCGAAATCTGTTCATGTTGAAATTATTGCTTTGAGTTACCTTAGAACATTAATTACTTATTTGTAAAAAACATTTTATCCAGAAATAAATTTTTAACTCAAAAAAAAAAAAAAAAAAAAAAAAAAAAAAAAAAGAAAAAAAAAGAAAGAAAACGAAAGAAAGAAAAAGAAATGCTGAAAGCTTCCAGACTTCATATTAGGCCCAAAGAAGCGTTTTTTCCCTCATATAGACACACGTGCATGTTTTGAGAGCACTTGGGGCTAAAAATATTTAAAAACAGCATATCTTTAAAATTTCGGATAGGCAGTCTGCCACGCTAGACATAAAAGTGTTCCGTTCAGTACAGTGTTGTCACTGCTCGCTTTGAAATCGTTGAGATTGTTAATCAAAAATTCGTTGAAATTTTACAAAATCTGAAATAGATAATAAAGCAAATTCGAAATTCAAAATAAGGCATCCAGGGACCATTTTCGGGTAGAGGATTACATTATTCAAAATTTGATGGCTGTAGGTACTGTTGCTTCTTCACAATGCGATAAGCATACATATATTCCTGCAGCTTCTTCATTATTTAATTTCTTTAAATATAATACAGGGCGGTAATAGTGGGTGGCAATAATGTTATAAGTGATTCAACGCAAAATGCTGTTTCGAGGCTAATAGCCCTTCCTAGCACTTTGGGATAAAAAGAAAGAAAAATCACGAAACGTCATACTTTCAATAATGGAAAACCAAGCTCACAACACTGCATTGCAAACAATAAATCATTTAAAGCGTAAAAAAAGAAACAGTCTAATGAGTTATTATCATTAGTCGCCTGATTTAGCCCCCATTGTTTCAATAATCAGACATTAAATTTAATCTAAAAGCTGAAATTGTAGATTTGTGACTGAACTTTTAGATTTGTGACTGAATCGTAGTCACAAATCTAAAAGCTGAAAGGAGCAGTTGAAGTTTATAAAACGCTCTCTACTATGTATGACTTTCTTAATAGCAAAACAGACTAGAATGGAAATTTGCATGCCAAAGCATTGATCCTAAAAACAAATATTTTGAAAAGCCCAAGAAAAGGGGGGAACAGTTTTTCATAAAAAATATCATAATAAAATTAATAATAAAAGATAATCTTAATATAATAAAAGATATAAATGTAAAGTATTCATATCTTTAAAAAAACTTTAGTACCACTAGCCTATGAATAATATTTAACAAAACACATAGAAATGATCTTTTGTATGGTATCTGTATTCGTTTAACATTATTTTCAGGAATGAACTTTTCGGTAAAATCTTTTAAATCGAAGGCAGCGAATTCTGTGAAACAGTTTCAGCATTGCCGATTGAAGGGTTGTGTAAATATAAAATCAAATTTTTATACGGTAGAACAATTTGGGTATAAATTACAGACCGTTAAAATATTCATTAGGATTTGATAGAAGCTAAATACAAAATGTTCCGTTCCTTTAAGTACAAAATTCACGGATATATAAAGAAAGTGAATAATTTACTAAAGACTACTTTTCAAAGTTCGCCAGTTATCAAATTTTCACATTTTTCAGCGAAATTTAGGGAGCAAATAAATAGTTAACTTTTCTGACTTTAGATAATATTAAGTGTTTATTATTCAAAGCAGCATCCGTTGGATCAACGAAACTTTTTAATTTTTAATAGATCAGAAAGTTTTGCATGTTAAACTGTAGAACATTTTTAACTCATCAAAGCCTGGTACTGTTCTGTTATCGGGACCGGATTCAAAAATGTGTGTATGTTTGTATGTGCCTATTTGTGTATATAATATAAATGTTCACACACATTTGTACTTACATACACACACACATATATATATATATATATATATATATATATACATGAACACACACATCCATACATTACATTTCTGAATCCGGTCTCCATAACAGAACAGTACCGAAAAGCTTTACCGTGTGAAAATTTTGCTCTGCAGATACATCTAAAAAGTTAATTCCATATTTACATAATTCTGCACCCACAAAGTCAAAACTCTTTTCATAAAATTTTCTACCTTATTTTAAGAAACTTTGACATGGCATATATAATATACATATTTTAGGAAATAAAGCATGTAGACATCTTTCTGGAATAGCCTGTATATACCATGTATATCACTTGAAAATCCAAATTCTTCTCAAAGGTGAATGCATTATAAATACATTTAATATTGAGCAAATCAGGTTAGTGTGGGTTGTGGGTTTTACTTACATACGGCTTCTAATATCTCGAAAATGTGTTACTCTTTCCAGTTAGATGTAAAATTATGTTTGTTATAAATAAAGATCAGAGACGAAAGAGCATGGAGTTGCCAGTCGCTAAAGCATTACATGTTTTATTTTGCATCATAAAAGTGCGCTTCCACTTCTCATAAGCGTAACGAAGTAGATTTATTAAAAAGTTTTTTTCTGCTAGTTTGTTTTATTTTTGAATAACATTTTGGATTGCCCGGTATTTTTATAGCATATTATGTTATTTTGTAGCATATTAATAGTAGCAACAATTTCTTTTTTTAAACATGTGTATCATCAATTAAATACATTTTTACTGATCTATAATATATCAATTGTAAAATTTCTATTTCTGTTTTTTATCGTAACCTGCATACAAAACTAAATCTAATCGTGATGACGAAATTTTCATTATGCATGAAAAAATCTACTTTATACACATTTTTTTATTTATTCACAATGGGATATTACATATTTATTATTTATTTTCTTTTTAATAGTTTTATAACTTTCTGTTTTTCTGTTTTTTATTACTGTTTCGCGTATAAAAGAAACATACAAAAAAAGCGGAAACTTTTAGAATTGAACTACTTTTTGAATTTTAATTTCACTTAATAACAAACGTTTAATGCTATGAGTGACAGCAGAAAATATTTTCATTTAAAAAACGAATCAAAACTTTTCCACGAGTTTTTTGTATTCATTAATTTTTAATTTTCTTTAATTTTTTATAAATTTTAATGGTAAGCATTTCTTTGAGATATCGGATCATAACCTCAATTTTGCAGATTGCCACTTATTTTTTGCATTGTGTCATTCATTCATCTGGGGATGATGTAACCTATATATATATATATATTTATTTATTTATTTATTGAAGGGAAAACTTTAAGATATGTATATATTTTGCTCGGTTAATATATTTTAATTTCTTCAGCCAACTTCGGAGAAGGATTTCTCAAGATTATATGACGTATGTAGATTGGGTAGTGGGACTTGTAGGAAAACCTGAACAATTATTGTCATGTTTTTTTTCCTAAGCGTAAACATGGCATACTCTATATTCCTGTTTACATAAATTTTACAAGCATGGGGAAAACAGATATGTTATATAATACTTCCAAAATAACTGGTAACTTAAATCTAATTATGAGTTCTTACCTTTAGTATTAGATTGTCCATCGCAGTTAAAGATTCAAGTAACCCGCGTGCACAGGTTTTACCCCTTCAGAAAAAAATATAATATTAATATCAATTAAACAGTCCACATTTCCTGGTTTGTGTGGCCATCTCTTTCGCTTTCGCTTCCGCACGCAACATTCGTAAAACTTCTCCAACGATTCAACTCAGGCGCTCCGGCAGAATTAGCATCTTGAATCTAAAAGACAACAGTGTTGGGGTTCGATGCCTTCTGGCTAGTCTTTGACCGTGACCGTGGCCAAGAAAAGGAACAACAGGGTTGCAGAGTGGTTTTTTTGCCAATGAGGCGGCAGCAGTCGCCAAACCGCCAACAGTTTCTTCAGGCTCAACAAGAGATTTCTTTTATATCTTGTTCCCCCGCTTTTTATAGCCCTGTACAGGAAAGCTCATTTAATTTATATCCTGGGGTTTGTATTAATCTTTCGTGATGTTTGCTAAAAAAGGATCTTTTCTTGTTTTACATGTTACATTTATTTTGACTCTGTGTGTGCTCCGCAACATCCGGCTTTTACCTTCTTTTTATACTTAAGATCTCCAGAACGGGGGCCTGTGCGCATTTGAATGCCTTCCTGAGAGGCTCTCGTAAGGTATCAGTAAGACAATTAACTTTATTAGTGTAGAAAAAGACAAAATTCAGGACTATCAAGAAAATTTTGAAAAAAAAAAGACGAAAATCTATATTTTTATTACACATTTTTGGGCACGTAATTATGCTCATGGTTTATATATTTTCATGAATGATATGCTTAAAAGACTTTCCTGGACTCAGCCGTGACAGTTTTCCCCAGGTCGAAAGGTCGAATGGAAGTTAATGACTCTTCACTTTCTATTTTTACTTCTTTGTACGAAGTAAAAAGGAAGTATTGTAAATCGCAAAATGTTTCAGGCATCATATTTCAACGAAAATATCCATTTTGACCGCTATCGAATGCAATTTAACGATGTTTTTGTGTGACATCTCTACGTAAGGACAGAATAAAAGACTCTTTTTTCCAAAATAAAAATTATAAAACTAATTTAAAATGAATTCTAAAGAAAATTTTTCGTGGCGTCTGTACGTACGTACCTACGTATGTATCTCGCATAACTCAAAAACGAGTAGCCTCAAAATGTTGACATTTTGTATACGACTGCTATAACATGTAGATGTGCACCTCGTATTTTGGTTGCAATCGGCCTCACCAAACGTATATAAATATTTTATATATATATCCACTCTGTTAACCGATTTTCAGTGATCTCAGTTTCTTTACGCTTATATGTTTGTAAGTTGTGCATTTTTTGCTTTAAAAATGATTGAATTATATTGTTCTTATCTTCCAGTTAAGATTTTTATGCCTTTAGTAAATCTGCATGCAATATTTGTGGAGTTATCAACAATTTAAAAATTGTTTTAGAGCAGCTAAGCCTAATGAATTTTGTGATGGCGGACATGTTTGTTTACATTTTAAACTTGCAAAATAGCGGATTTGTTGCCAATCTAGAAAAACTAAGCTTTGCAACAACAAAGATAACGCCTTCTTTTATTATTACGAATTAAATCATGTTTAATCCATTCTGGAATTTATTCGAGGAAATAAGTGCTTAAAATTTACTTCGTAATTTTTAATATAGATATTTTGAGTTTTTATGTATTTTTGCCTTGTCGGGAAGCGAGAACGGAATTAATTGAATGAGAAATACTGAATCGTATGTAAAAAAACAGTTTCTTTTTTGTACATCGTTTTTAGATTTATTATAGTATTTGAATAGAACATGTGGCAACGATTAGATAATTATTCAAATGATATAAATTTATATGCATTTTGAGTTACAATATGAACGAAATGTAACGGTGTTAAATGAACCTAGCACCAGAGTGTCGCTATGGTAAACATATATAGTGAGTTTTAAAGAGTGCATTTATTCTATTGTGGTTTATATACTATCGACGAAGTAGATTTAATTCAATCTAATAAAGTTTAAATGAAATGCAAGAAAAAATGCATATAATTTAATATTCCGTACAAGGAAGTCATGCGATGTACACATCAGATTTTTTATCTAAAACAATCACGCAGTTTTTATTAATATGTCTTCTCATTTGACCTTTCTTAACCGTAGAATACAAGTGTTGTGCCTAAGTCCAGAGCTATTTCAATTTGGGAAGTCTTATTTTATGATACCTGGTAGCTTTGAGATCATAGAAATTCTAAGAGGTTACGTGTTTTCACGTACTTAGTGCATCATGAATCCACTTTTGAATGTCAACTTCGTATCCCCTTTAGAGCTATGGACCCAAAATTTTAGTAGCAGTTTTTTTTTTTTTTTTTGTTTTTTTTTTGTTTGTTTGTTTTGTTTGTTTGTTTGTTTTGTTTTGTTGTTATCTTATTGCTCTGTAATGTAATATTTACGATAACACTTCTTTCTGAAATGTCTACAAAAGTATAATGGGATATATTAAATTTAAATTGGCCCAAAAATAAATAGTGGGCCAATTTAAATCAGCCCACTAGTTTATCATGGCAAGTCTTTTAAGTTGAAACATGTCTATAAAAAGGGAAATAAGCATTCGGTCTGCCGATCTACAAATCGTAATGATAGTATTCTTACATTAAATCTAAATTCTTTTAGCTTCACTTACTTCTCAGTCACATTTTTTGATAGTTTTAATTCCATTTAATGTTCACTCCGTTGATGCACGCCACTTTTCTATTTCTATTCGTTTCTTTTTCATGTCTCCTACTGTTACCCGACCATTACCAAAGTCGTCAGTTACCTTTTGTATTGTGTCTGTCCAGTCTCTTGACTGTCTCAAGTTTGTGTTCCATCGATATAACAGCTTCCTTTCTTTTCCTCGTCGCTCTTTCTGTACTTGCGTAAGTATCAACTTTTAAACACCACAACAGTGTTTGTGGAATTAGACACATATACGCATACGCATCAACAGTAATAGATGATAAACCGATCCGCATGCAATAATAAACTACACTTCACTGAATGACAGGCACGTTAGTCATAGTGTAGACATGCGCGCCGCGAGGTAGAGGCAGAAGCAACAACAACAAACATACAAAGAAACAAAAGACTACGCCCACAACTTTCAGTTCCTGTTGATTTATACTTTTTTTATCTCTATGATATGTCGGATATGCGAGACTCTACTGTATATCAATTAGATATATAATTAAGAAAGAACTAAACTATTCTCTAATGAAGGTATGTAACAAACAGTGTTCATAAAATCTTTTATTGATAATGTGAATCATTTTTTGAGCTGTGAATCATTTTTTGGAAATATTATAAAAAAGTGTATTTTAAGTTACGTCAATAAACGCTGCAATAAAGCTTTAAATTACTAAGAAAAGATTTTAATGCTTTTAACAACTTGTTGAGCAATGAACGGAACTAAATACAATGACTATTTTCTTAGCGATCACTGTAGACGACTGAGAACATAAATGAACATCATTATCGAAAAATCACCTCTTTGACGCGACCACCTCCGAAAAATAGCCGAAATCATCTGGAACCGTGGATGGGTTCACCTTAGGATAGGTTCACTCAGTGCCGATCCTAGATCGTCTGCCGTCCACGTGCAAATTAAAATTGGCAGCCCTTTTTACTGAAATATGATATGTTTGATAATCATTTCACCGGTCACATCTTATGCACTATCTTGTTCCCGCTAGCATATAAGCATTCTGTACCGCGCCAAGCGCATATGGAAAAATCAATCTTCGTGATTGGATATGGATTTTGATGAGATCATTTCCTCTAAGCTTATGAACGCCCTGACTTTGCTTGGGCTCGAGAGTACACCTCCAAACCATTTGTTTACATTTTGATAGCAGTAACGAAAATATTGTTACTATTAACAAAGTGCGCTGTATTTTTGTTGCCATGAATTTATACTGCTTATGGGACTGCAGTGTGGTGAATTTATGTAAAAATGTATTTTTTTCCTAGAGAGGAAACGTGTTATTTCTTTTAGTGTGCTAACTCCGTAAATATGTATTCATATTAGGTGCAGAAGTTTCTTAATGTAAAACAATTCATATTAAAGGTGTTGTGTTCATTCATTTATTGTTTCATGTTCATTTAAATATCCATTCTTTGAAGATGCAGTCTCCGAAAGTATGAGAAAAATCAATTTTCGCAAGTAGCAAAAATGTTGGAAGCTAACATAATACAGTAAATTCATAATATTTGTTGTCAGTCTGAAAAAATAAAATTTATTTTTGAAGACTACTGTAGATATGAAACAGAGAAATACAGCTACCTTGTATGTTTAAACTGAATAATATTACTTAATGGAAATTGCCCACTTTTTAATGTGTAACGTCATTCGTACTTTTGTATGAAAATAGTGTATATCACAGAAGGAATTTTCCTTTCTTGTATATGTATATTAAATTCAGCGACACTACTGAATACTCTTTTTCTTTCATTTAAGGCACCAGAATATTAGAAATGTGAAAGATATGGACATTAACATAGAAATAGCATATGCAGTTGCAAAGGAAATAGTTTCTGCAATGTGAAAGGAACAGAATACAACAAAATTGCAATAATAATATATACGTACTAGCAAACAATGCCTTCACAGATGGGTGGAGATCGTCGTGTAATCCAATGTGTTTTCGTTTTTGCCCTAAATTCATGAACTAAACTCTTTATATAATAATAGCGCTTAACCTTAATTTTGATATTAACAGCATTTTGAACGATTTTATGATTTTATTATTCCATGAAACAGGAAACTATCAATAGAACACAGCTTGAAAATGTTTTCGACTGGTATTATTATTCAAAGAAAACAAACGATAATTTTCACGCTTTACTGGCACTGAAGCGAGTATTTCGACGAAAACAAAACCGCAAAGATCCCGCCTAAACATCATTACGCCAAGAGAAAATGATGTCATTGGAACATATGTCCAATCACAAGTACGGATTTTTCAACATGCGCGGTACAGAATACTTATATGCTTCCCCGCTAGGATCGACCCTGGGTTTACTCTATAAATCTGTCATGTCGATGATGTGGTGTATTTAATCATGGCAAAGCACACTAGGGCTATCTGCCTTGGGGGAGGGATGCCTTCGTGGAGGACTTTCTAAGGGAAACTGGCTCGTATACACGTTACACATGGGGAAAACCACGAAAACACCCATGCAGCCAGCCCGTTCGCGGGATTCGAACCTCGGACCGTCCTACCAGTGTTCA